AAAAAATCAGTGAGAGAATTAAGATGATACATATCATCATCGTTTTTAAAACAGGAGACCTTATTCTACTTACTATGCTAGCAAATCCAGGCTGTATTCTAGGAAATGAAGACCTCTAAGTTACAAAATATTTTAGGATTTTCCATTATTATGCCTCTGCTAACTTCTGTAAGTCATGTTTAATTAATGCTGTTATTCAACGGTAGAAGTTCACAATTTTATATGAACGCATCTCAATAATAAAGTCAGAATAATATACCCCAAGTCTAACTTTCTAAGTTACATGGGTTAATAACATTTACTAATAATAAGAAGTTTTTATGCCTTAAAGAAACTATCTTTTACAGGACATAGTCTATGTTACTGTACACAAAATTTTATTTCAAATATTATACAGAGCATGTGAGTAAGAACTAATATTTAAAAATCAATGTTAAAAAATAAACTCTGGTTATTTTGTAGATTGAAATTTTATCCATGTATATAATTAGAACAGCAACAAAGAAGGATAATCTTTTCCTTATGTCATGTTGGATATTAGTTCTCTTCATAATTATTCCATCTCTCTCTCTCTTTTTGTCATATAGTGAGATAGAATTTCTGAATCCCTTGAGGAAATGTAAAAATTTACTTTGTAATGTTGAATACCATCATATCCTGCAACCTATCAATTGTATTTTATGGTGTACACTAAAATTTGTTATAGTTTCATTGTTGTAGTCAAGCATTAATTACAGTAAAATGCATAAACAGATTTTGAAATGATCTCACAATGGAATGAGGTATAGTACTGAACATGAATCTATGACTACATTCAACAACTGTTGTAAAACTCAGTAACTTAATGCTGAATTAAACATTTTTTCTTTATATCTGCATAAAATGTACTAATTTTTTAAAACTTCAGAACCAGCTAAAACTAAAAATATAGATACATGTGATAAAGATACTTATTTTTTTTGAGAGAAAGTTTTTTGCTATAGGGATGGCTTGCTGGAGAGCTAGAGATAGAGAGGCAGAAAGTGAGAAATCACCCCCTCAGGGGGAATGGCTATTTCACAATCCCTTCTCTTGGGGTTTTGGGCACACATACACATGCACCTGGCATGAGTTTCAAGCCTGACAGATCCAGGACTTGAACCATGGTCGACTACGAGGAAGTCCATGGATGTAACTAATATGACAGCTTCTGGTCCCCAGATACATTATTTTTAAGAAACTATTTTTAAAAAATCAAGATATTGATTAGCTTTGTGATGAAGCAGGAGGCAGTATAAATGGTTGAACATATACTTAATTTAAACTATTTTTCTTGGGACCAGCAGTTAGCATAATGGCTATGTCGCTGGACTCCCATGTAGTCGACAGTGGTTCGAGTCTTGGACCCAGTGGCTTAGACTCATGCCAGGGGCGTCTGTGTGCGTGACCAAGATCCTGAGAGGAGAATGGAGGAGAAGGGATTGCATCGTAGCCATCCCCCTTGGGGGATGATTTCTCACTTTCTTTCTTTCTGTCTTTCTCTGTCTTTCTGGCGAGCACACATCCCTATAGCAAAAAAGCTCTCCAAAAAATTTTTTTTTCTTTATTTATTATCTGATTTCTTCATTAAATTAGCCAGGGAAACGAGCACTCTCCATAAGGTTTAGCCATGCCCCATGTATATACACATATATATAATCTATATCTCTATATATTTATATACACATATTTTTTGGGGGGAAGAGAGGTTTTCGCTATAGGGTGCGTGCGCTCGCCAGACAGAGATAGATAGAGAGACAGAAAGTGAGAAATCACCCCCCAGGGGGATGGTCACATTGCAATCCCTTCTCCTCCATTCTCTTCTAGGGATCTTGGGCATGTACGCACATGCGCCTGGCATGAGTTTTAAGCCACCAGGTCCGGGAAGCGAACCACGGTTGACTACATGGGAGTCCAGCGACATAGCCATTACGCTAACTGCTGGTCCCAATATACACATATTTTTTAACGAGAAAAAAAGACAGGCACCCTTCAAAGAGTTATATTGTGGTTGTCCTCCACCTACCCTGCATACAGTCAAAGGAGACCTGGGGCAAAACCAGAGACTTCCAATCTGGCCATAGACCTGTGCCACTGAGGCTGGGTCTATTATTAATCTAATTAATTAAATAACCTTCTCATTTGTCATCTGTACTTAGAAAATTGTAGTACTTTTAATTAAAGTTTTTAAAAAGTCAAGTCATGTGGTTATACTTGCTAAGCAAAATAACTTTATATGTACTGTACATTTTTATTTAAATACTAATTCATATGTCTTACTAACACAAATATATGAGACAAAGCTGGAAACAATATACTGAAATGTTGAGATAT